TTTTCTTTTGCTGACAAACTGCTTCTGTTGCAGGTGGTCGCTGCCCATGGCCATGTCCATCACGCACCGCGGCACCGGCGTTGCTCTCAGCTTAGGTTTGTGCTCCTCTGGCTGCCGTGGGGTTCAGAGCTGCGGCTGCTGCCGGCCGTTTCCTCCCCTCGGCTCCCCAGTTGTAATTCTGCCTTCAGCCCCGGGTTTCCTCCCCTTTTATCCCCCCCCCCGTGGTGCTGCAGCAGCTCTGCAAAGCGATGCTTTAAGCCCTGGATGCCTTCACAGCACTGCCTGCATGGTGAGGTGCTGCTTTCTTCCACGCCTCCCCCCATGAGGGGACGCACGGTGCTGCTCTGCTGCCCTTCTGTCCCCTCTCATGTGGTGCCAACCCCCCCAGGCCCTGCAGGAGGGCAGCGCTGGCACCAAGCACAGCTCTGTGGTTCCTCCATAGAGCAGCATCTCAGCTTCCTAAAAGCAGGGGAAGGCAGAGCTGGCATCAGAAGGGGTGAAATCCCCCCCCTGCCATGGTGCGACTCAACCAGAGTCTGTGAAAGGCCGCTTTATTTGCACCGTGCTCCCATAGCAGCCAGGATGGGGGCTTCTGTGGCAACTTGGGGGGGCAGCAGGAGGAGCTGGAGGGGCTCCTGCAGGAGGGCGCAGAGGGAAGGGGCTGAAAAACACCCACAGCATTGGGCTGAACGTCCCTCATCGTGAGGGTGAGCAGCCAGGGCTGCTGCAAGCGCCCAGCTGTGAGATTTCACCTCCGGGACTGGAGGGGGGTTTGTGGGTCCCAAAGCTGCTGCTGCACTTCTTGCTGCTGCATAAAGGAGCCCATGGGTGGGGAAGCCATCGATTTCCAGGCTGCTGGAGCACAGGGGGTGGCAGAAACGTTTTTGTTGAGAAGAGGGGGAAGAGCTCAGCTCCGCTCCAGCAAAGGCTGCAATCAGGGGAAGCTTCCTGCGCCCCACACAAAGGGGGAGGAGGAGGAGATGAGTGCTGCAATCAGCTGCCATTGAGCACAGCAGCATCTGGAGCCAGCAGGAGGAGGAGGAGGAGGAGCTGCAGGGTTCCTTCAGGCTGTCAGCCCGTCCGTCTGTCTGTCTGTGGGTGCTGGGGAGGGGCTGCTGCCCCCCGTGTGGGGCTGCATTGGGCCACGTCCCCCCACCTCAGCTGAGCCTCCAGCCTGATCCCTCTGCGTTTGAGCTCATGGTGCTCTACTCACTGCCCTCGGTGCAGGACCCCCATCCAATGCTCTGCCCCCCATCCCAAGCCTTG